AAATTGTTATTAATTTTATTGTAGTTTTTTATCTTATGAGTGTGAGTCACCCAGAGGTGTTGCGGCACAACAGGCGGCGTATTGCAAATGAATAAATGATAAAACCTGGGGTGGAACCCGATGGGAGTAAAAACAGCAGCTGCAAGAAATGTTAGCCACTTCCCTCCCTCCTCCCCAATCCGAGCAGCATTCCTGGGGGATTTTATTTTATCATTACATCGACATCGTGAGTTTTCCCCCTTGCTATGAATTACATGAACCTGCTTCTCCTTTCTGCTGTATTTTCACAACAACCCTGTAAGGAAGGAAGATTCACAACCAAGTGGAGTCTAGAACCTGGCGCTTCCCAGTGCAGCGTTCAAAGCACTGCAGCGCAAACGGCTTCCTGGATTAGCAGGAAGAGCTCTCGGTGGCCAAGTGTCCACCAGTACAGAGCACAGTCCTCTGTCTGAAGGACTACCAGAGGACTCCTGGCTGGACCCCATAAAGAAAGACGCAGGCGTGGGAACGGCGGTCTCCAAGGAAGCACGGCGAGACCGAGCGGCATGGAGACAACGATCCACGGAGTGGTCAAGGGCCAGACACGACGGAACAGTTGATGATGACAACGACCTCTCCTTTTTTTTTTCTTTTTTGCATTTTTATAAGAAGTTTTATTCGAAATTATAATCCTAAAAACAAAGAAAAACTAAAAACAACATCAGTCATCAGAAACATTGGACCTGCTGGGTCAGCCCCCACATTTTTTTCCATTTAGGATAACTTAAAAACATATTTAAATCTATACGAAGTCCCGTTTCTCTAGCCCATAGTAAAAAGAGCCCCAAGTTTGAGAGAAGTCAGTATCTTCTTTCTCCTTCCATGATAAGGTCAATCTATCCATTTCTGCGCAGTCCAAGATCTTTTTTAGGATCAGTTCGGACAGTGACCTCTCCTGATGGGCTGCCCGTGTCAAGCTGAATGCCAGGAGGCAGAATCCCCTGTGTTGCCCGTCTGTGGTCGCCTGGTTGTCGTCCCTGGAACCGGCATCAAAGGCAGCCACGGGTGGGCCTCGGCCGAGGGCCACGTCCCAGCAGGGCCTGCCGACCAGAGTGCCCCCTTTCCAGCCTCACAGCCCTCCGGCCGTGGTGCAGGCTCAGTGGGAAGCCGCAGGGGGTGCCACGGACTCTGCCCGCTCTCGCTCGCCCACTCAGCCGGTCCAGAACAGAAACGGTCGCGATGATGAGAACGAAGGAGGAGCCATCACCTTTATGGGGAAAAAATTAATGCTCAGCCCCTGAATGCTGCAGCCCTTTTTATACTGTTATTACAGATGTTTTAACTCATTGGTGTGTTTAATGTGTTTTATTATGTTTTAATATGTTGATGTATTGTAAGCCACCTGGGAAGGCCTCGGCAGTATAAAGGTGCATATAAATAAATAAATCACAACTGGTTATAATGGTGGGGAGAAGGGATATTCACTGGGGGGTGGGGGAGCCTGAAAGGGTGACTTACCTCGGGGGTTATGAATCCCCTGCAGTCAGCACTGGTTGTCCTTCTGCTTTAATGGGATCTGAAGTCCACCTATTAAAATTAGGGTTAAAATCCCCACATTTTTATCCATCTATGCATAACATCAGCATGAGCAGCTCTGCTGCAAAGCCGCGCCGATTTTGTCCTCATCTGGGACAAAGGGGTTCCTCCTTTTTTTGGTGAGATACATGCAGCTGCCTTAGGCCTCCCCCGTGGCGGCACTGTCAGGTTTGCCGTCCGTCCGCCTAATTCTTTGGTAGCTCCCAGCAGCATGGAGAATCCCCAACATCTCGGCAGCAGGGAGCCTCCGGGCTCGCAGCCACACCAGCATTTTCAGGTGCATCGCCTGCTGATGCCAACAGTGATGGAACCTGCTGTCTCCACCCAGCCGCATCTCCAGTTTCTTGGGTATCTGGGTCAGAAAGCGTACTAAATGCAGCTTGCACGCTCTCTGAACTGACCTGGCACGAGCTTGTCTGGTCTTGCAAAGAATCTGACAGGGAAACAAAACCCCTGCAAAGATGCTAAGACACTTGGCGATGGGAAAGCGCCCGCCTTCCTGAAGTCCGCCGCACGGCTGCTCCCACATACCTGGGAGTAAAGGCACACACCTTCCCAGCAAGGGGAGAGGCACCTTGGTCCAACCAGATCAAGTCGAGATAACATTGAAAGCTCCTTCCATGAAATCTCGAAAAGAAAAGACGTTATTTCAAGGAGTGTTCTTCAATGCCATTACATGTTCTTTTTGACGCCCGGGGCATGTTCTCGGTTGCTTCTGCTCCTCTCTCAGCCCCGTTTTCCAGGAAGCAGCACCAAGGTGAGCTCTGAAGAGCTGTGAAGGGTCAAAGGTACCACGGTGGCTGCTGAAATCCCGGGTCAGATAAGATGCTTGGGCAAGTCTGGGCTACGAAAAATGACTTTCTCTCACTTGCTAGCCAAAGGTGCCTTTGAGCTGGTGGTCCTGGCCTTCCCTGAACTGGGCCCTGCAAATCTGTTGGATTACAACTCCCATAATCCCCTGTCAGGGTAGTGCAACACATCTGGAGAGCATGTCAGACAAGGGCTGCCGACAAGACCTGGGAGTGAGGATTTCAACCTTCCTTAGGCCTTCCATATAAAACTTCATCACTGCCATTCCCAAATAGAGGCAGGAGAGAATTTTGTTTGGCTCACTTTTTTTTAATAAAAACTTGACAAAATTTGCAAATTTCTCTGGGGCAAAAAACCAAACTTCACATTAGTAGAACCTGGTTGATTCATCCATCCCGCACTTTGCTCTTAAAAGCCCAGCTTTTCCCGTGGATTTCCTGAGAACTGGTCTGTATTCCTGCTAAACGAGACCAGCTGCCTCTTTGGGAACGGCACAAACTGGAAGGGGCCCTTCCTTTGGCATTGGCTGTTGCAGATGGGTGAGAATTTCCTTTCCATTTGCTTTTTATAAGAATTTAACACAATTTGCCATTTTCTTCATGTATGGGATCAAAAGAACACTGGGAGGCAGGAGAGGTGTATTGAATTCAAATGCAGAAGAAGGCAAACCTACGAGATTCATCCATTCTTGTTCCCGGACAAGACAAATGCCAAGACAGGGAGACTTTGGGTGCCGGCACTGAAATTCATACTAAAAGCGGAATTTTGCAAAGAAAAAGCAGGGCTTAATCCCAGATTGGGAGTTAGTTCTTCCTCTGCTTCTGATACAGAGGGGAGGAAATACTGATTCGGGTCACCTGGCTCCAGACTGTTTCATCCTGGTCTGTAGTGAGAGAACCCAGCATGTTTTGGTTAAATTGTGAACTGTGGGTTGTTAGCACAGGGGAATTCACACAACACAACAACCCACCGTTCAATGACAACCTGCACTCTAGCTTGTCAAACTCTTTAACCAAGGAAATGAAGGGTGTGTTAGGAGAAACCATTGTTTCCAGAAGCCTAAAAATCAAGGATACACAGTGACCAACATGAAATGCACAACCTGGTTAGAGCAAGCGTGTTGGGAATGTGGGAGGGACAGTTGGAAAACACCAAGAAGAGGGCAAAAGAGGACAGTAATGTGCATAACATCTCCACATGCTAATATGTACAGAGATGCAAATTTAGAAATAAATGGTGTCATTGCAGCAGAAATACTGTGGCCAGGTGGGCTGGGTGCCTTGATCTGTCTGTGGGCCAGGTGCCGCCGGCGGGCAGTTCCAAGGATGCCGAACTATTCCTTCCCACAGTTCCTTCTCTTGGGACCGAGAGGCCCTTCAGAGAGACAGTTCTCTGCAAAGGAGGACCCGTGGCCACCCATCTCCAAAGCGGAGGGAGGGCTGGACATCATGTCCCACAGGCACATGCAGAGTTTCTGGCCAGGCCTCCTGCCCTCCAGCCCATGAAGCGGAAGCCCACGGAAAGCTGGCACCTAAGCAAAGATAGGTGCTTTCCTCAATCCTCAGTTCCCCGCCTCTTTCTGTGTCCAGCCCTGAACTTGCAGCACATCCTCTCCCTGCCTCTGGCCCTGATGCTCAGCTCAAGCACAACCCAGGCTGCGGGGGGGCATGTTGCTGCCCAGTCAGGGGAGCCGAAGCTGGGGCGCGTCTCTCCCTTTGTGGAGGGGCGGGAATACCTGTGAACACACCTGCTCCCTCACTGCTTTTGCCCTGCAGCGCGGCCTCGGGGTCTCCATGCCTCTGCTGCCCAGGTGCTCGGCCGTCCCTGAAGGTGCCCGTTGGAAGCATCCCGCTGGCTGCTCTGGCCTGTGCCCAGGAAACGCCAGCCTGGCCGGGGAACTCTCGGGCGTCTCGTTCAGAAACGAGCATGTCATGGACAGCAGCACATTGCGAGAGGTTCCTTCAGCAGGTCTCTCCAGATCTGGACAGCCAGTCAGACATCCGTGTGACTGGGGCACAAGACTTCATGGGCATCCTCATGCTTGATCTAGAACGGAGCCTCAATCTGTCCCCTACAATACCAGGCTGGCCTTCTGCCTCCAGGCGTCCTCAACGGTTCCCCATCGTGGCTCCACAAGTAGTCTTTGCCACACTTTCCTCCTCACGTATGTTTAGACCTGCAGCTGGATTGAGTTCTAGTAGAATCGGGGCCTTCTTTGTGGTGGTCTCTCCCACACAGGCTATTATCCCAAGTGAAAACCAGCAGGCCTGTTCCCCTGTAGCTCTTAGGAAAGCAGCCAAAATATTGAGCTGCAGATTTATCATAACATGCATTTATAATTTGTATGCCATTTTGGACTCTTATCTTTAGATGGTTGTCTTTATATTTTGGGCTTCTTCTCTTTTATTATTGAATTTATCCTTTATGCTATCGCTAAAGTTAATAAATTGTATGATATCCACAGGATTTTCAGGTTGGACAGGAAGAATTTAATGCATTAATTGGTATGGGGAATGTTGAACAGTAGATGATCTGCCTTTTCCACTGTCAACATTTTTATTACGAACTGATTAGCAAATAAAATAACCCAGAAGCAGCAAGTATGCAGTGTTTATATGAATTTATTTTATCTTAAAAAATGTAAATACAATACAAATGGTAGAGACTTTACAAATTCTGCAGGATCTATACGTCCGGTTACAGGTATGCATCAGATTGGAAAGCCCAGGTACAAGGAAGTTTGTCCTCTCTTACAACGGAACCTTTCCCCCAATGCACTTCTGTCCCCTAATGAAAAAGCTGAGGCACCTTTTCAATGACCTGCGGATTAACACTGAGGGACTGGAGTGTGGGGGGAATGATTTGTGCTCCCCCCAGAAAAGAAGCCAACTTGGTGTCATCTGTTCCGCCCCTCCACAACTCCAGGTGGTGAAGTTGACCAGGCGGCCAAGTTGGCATCACAAATAGATGAGCTACCTGAAAGCACAGACCCCAAGCCTATGCAGGAAGCAGGACTTTGAGAAGCAGGGCTGAGGAGGGCCCTTAGCTGCCTGGGACTGTGGGGAGCCCTCGGGAGTCGTCGGAGACAAGATTCACCCAGGCTGTGGTAGCTCTGTGATCCATAAGAAGTTGCATTAGCTCAGTGCAGCTGGAGCGGGAAGCATGCAAACCAAGCTCTCCCTTCCCAAAGAGCCAGTGTGAGCACGGCTTCTTTTCCAGCAAGGAAGCATCCCAAAAGAAATGTTGGGCAGCCTTGTATGCCATGCGGAAAGGGTTTGAGCCACCCCGGTGTATACGAAAGGAGAGTCCAGCTTCCAAACTGTGCCATCAAAGTGCTGGTCTGCTTTTGAGCTTCCCGGAGAGGTATCTGTACAAGGAAAGGGTGACTCTGCCTAGCTGGTCCCGGGTGCCAAGCGCATCTGCTTTGCACCAATGCATGCTGGGAAGTGGCGTCCTACCGGGAATGGCTCCTTGCGGTACTTTCCTCCAGTGTCCTCTGCACTGCACAATTACCATGGAGGGAAGAATTAGTTTTTAGCGCAAGAAAAGCCTTCGGAGAACAATTCAGCCCCCATTCATGCTCGCAATTAGCGGGCTGCTGTGAGGTCCACTAATTACAAGCTTGCTCAGCTTTGTGACAGATGTAACCCAGAGGGTGTGAATGGAACCTAGAGGTCACTCTCTGGGGATGTTTTAATAAATGTGGTAAGAGAAAGGAAAGAAAAAAAAATTGGCCTGAAGCAAAGGACTTGCATGCGTGTATATATGCTTATCAAAGCTGGATGGCTTCTGAGTGGCGGGCTCCAAAGAGCCACAGGGACACCTTTGTCATGCATCTTGCACACTTCAGAACACCTGTAAATCAACGTTTTCCTCAGCGGCGGTTCCTGGGGAAGATTTGCCTTGCTCATCTCTAATCCGGAAACCCCGCTCCTTCCTTCTGTGGCCGCTTCTTCTGAGGAAATGGTTGAAAAGCTGGGCCCCTTCCCCGGTTCAAATGTGCAGAGATGGACTCCAGTGCAGCACAGTCAAGGTGCCCGAGGACTCAGGCCCGTGCGCTGATAGGCAGCTACCGCATAATCCGCTTCCCAGCCCAAACCTACCCAGTGGCCCCAGAACTAAGTACAAAGATTCGGACAAAGCCATCTCCACAGCTGCACACCTGCCGGCACTGGGCGAGGGAAGAAGCCCAAGGCGCTGGCTGGACAACAGCCCATTCTGGGGCTTTCGCCACTAGGGTCACACGGTTCCCAGCACAAGCTGAGGAAGGTCACACTCGCACAACAGTGCGCAGGCGTGCAGCTGGATATGCAACTTCTAAAGCAGAGTCAAGGGTATGCAAAGAAACCAGGGACAAAGAAAACTAACTCAATGCGGGCAAAGGAAACCCCAACCCAGAGCTCCCGCCGTGCGTCTGCCTTGTCGCTCTTCCTCTTCTCGTTGGTGATTAATGTCCTTTGTATGTGCATTCAAAAATTGTCCGTAGGCACGAAAAGGGGCAAGGCGCTTCCCCCGGAGGCCTCACACATTGTCTCTCTGCTTCACGTTGGACAGTTTGACGGTTTCCTCCTCATTGGCTTCCAGGCGTGGTTCATCGTGGCATCCGATCATCAGCTGGTAGACGGCCACGCCAGCCACGGCGCCCAGGAACGGGGCGACCACGGGAACCCACCACCAGTGCCGCCCGGTGCTGTAAGGGAGGGGCAGAAGAAAGGGAAGGTTAAGTACAGGCTCACACCGGGCACACACCTGACCCATCGCTTTCTGCTCTCTGTTCTTTACTTCAGAACCTTCTTAAAGCATCGCGCTTTGTCTTCATCTTGATCGCTCCTATTTATTAAATGATTTCTGAGCTCACTTCCAGCCCGGAAGGAGAAGGCCCTGGGCAACTCACAGTTTAAGATGTGAAGACAATGTACATATTTTAAATTATCCAAAGTTTTTAAAGGCGTGACCCTATTGATGTTTAGGTGTGGAAATGCCCTACAGCTGCAAGCACCGTGGGGCATATTCTCACTGAACATGCATAGGATAGCGCTCATACCAACCCTTAGCATTCTCAGTAATAATACTAACTCCTATCTAATTTGACTGCTGGCCCATTGGCTCCTGACCCGTGGGAGCAGTTCGGCCAACGGACACGTCCTTACGCCCAAGGGTGCAAGGGGAGGAGGTTCGGCACAAGCGTCCCCCTCGGTCCTCCACCCCTCTGCACTGCCGTTGCGCCTTCCGAAATTTCACCCACGGGAACCCCGAAGACCCTCCTGCAGAGGAGTCCTCCTGCTGGCTCCACTCCGTGGATTCCTGCCCCTGCCTTGCCAGGGCTTGCGCAGTGTGGTGAGCCATTGCGGGTTGCGAGTCAGGCTTGCTGCAACAAGGCTTGTCAAGTGGCCTGAATCTCACCAAGGTGGTTTATGCGTGGTCAAAAACCACACGGCTGGGTTCTCACTGCATCAAAAGCCGCTCTGAAACAAACGTGGCCCAGAAACTACCATGGCTGATCGTTCTGCTTGAGCCCAGCTATTAGCCGAGTTCGGACAACACAATAAATCACACTCAGTGGGTTGCTGAGGAGCCATGGGTTGGTGCGCTTTGAGAGGATCAATCATGGTGAATGAAAAGCAATCCTGGGGTTCTTGGGTTCAGACAACACACGGGTCCCACAGCTACCACTAAGCCCTCGAGTGGATCGCCATGTTGCCCAAACCCAGCCCTGGGGTTCCCTCAGGCAGCTTGCGCTTGGAAGCGGGTGCTGGGTCCCACTCAGGAAGCTCATCCTGACCAGCAGCTCTCTCGCAGCTGGCCAATTTCGGCCTTCCGCTCTCAAAAGCTACCCCTAGACAACCCCCTGCCATTTTGTGCAATAGGTCCAGAGAGTCCATGAACTGTGTGGCTCTCACGAGGTCAGGCAAGGACATGTTTACTGCTCACTGTACTGAGATAATATCCGGGCAAAACCAGGAGTGTGTCTTGACATGCCTCTCAAGGCTGCATCAGGAGCTGTTCTCGCCCTGAATCGCTCAAGGGGGTCCTGCAGCACTGAGGGAGCTCCGCTGCCAGGAGCTGAGATATTTGGTGGGTGGTCTCAGCCCAGGGCCAAACCCTGAGGCCGGCCTGTCCAAGTAAGCCGTTTACGCACCTCCATCTGGACTTGATGACACGTCCAAGGCTAGTTAACCAAGTCAGAGCACTGTCCTTACGAAGCCCCCTCTGGCCTTGTTCCGGCCTACAGATTCTGCAATATTGATCCTCCAGAGCCATCTTGTCCTGTCATTATCTTAAGCCCCTGCTCGGAGTTGCCCGGGTATTAATGCCAGGGGCACCCCAGGTCTACATCCTTCCCAACGGCCCTGACGAAGACACGCTAATGAGCAGGCGCTGCTCACAAGTGGAAATCGCCTTCTGCGCAAGGCAGGGTCACTTTCTGGCCCGGCACGCCAGCACGCGCGTGGAGAGGTGGGGAGGGCACTCACGTGAAGACCTCCGAGCCCCAGCCGGCGATGGCCGTGAAGAGGCGAGGGCCGAAGTCTCGGGCGGGATTGACGGCGTATCCAGAGTTGAAGCCCATGGAGGTGCCGATCACCAGGATGACGAAGCCGACGGTGAACGCCTCCAGGCCGCGGGGCACGGGGTTGTTGTAGGGGTCCACAATCGCCAGGACACAGACCAGCAAAGCTGCGGTGCCGATGAACTGGGAGGGGGGAGAAGACGAGGAAGACCATTTGTCTGATGGCTCGCATTTGACTTATATCCCACTTTTTCCTTCGGAGCTCAAACCAGCCTACATCACTCGCCTCCTGCTGCGCTCAGTTTTATCGCCACAACAACAACCCTGTGAGGTAGGCCTGGCTGAGAGTCTGTGTCTGGCCCCAAGTCGCCCAGCTGGCTGCATGGCTGAGCGGGGACTCAAACCCACGTCCCCTGAGCCCCAGTCCTGCACGCATAACCACTACACCACCCTGGCTCTGCAGTATTAGAGAAGAATTGCAGCATTATAGAAGATCCTTTCAAGAACTGAAGAATCTGAGAAGAGCCTCCCTGGAACAGGCCAAATTCCACCGTTCCATCATTCCCCCTCCCCTCCAGCATGGCCAATCGTCAGGGATGATGGGAGGTGTAGTCCCAAACACTGGGAGGGTGCCGGGCTGTCAAAGGGTGGATCTATTCCACCATTTTGCCTCCAAAATTCCCAGACAACTGGCTCTCAGCTGGATGCAAGCAACAGGCAAAGAAAGAGAGTGGTGTCTTTCGCCTGTTTTCTCCTAGCATCGCATCTTTAGGGCTATACTGCTCCTGTCCAAGAAGGTTCCATTTAGCTATTATAGCAGGTATTCCACCACGGGTGCCTCATATGGCTGGCAACCTGCCATTTTGAGTTGTAGCTGTGCCCACTGTTGACTGGGGCTGGTAAAGGCTTTGGAGGGACAATTCGGATCTGAGAAATGGCACCGACAGGGTAAACCCTGTTTCTTCCAGAACCGCTGCCATGACCCAGCTCAGTTCATGCTGCTGATTCTAGGCTGGAATTACAACACCAAGGGGTCCTGCGCAGATCACCATGTGACCCCGAACCAGCCTCCAGCTCTTACCTGGTCAAAGAATCCGTTCACAGAGTTCAAGTGCTCAGACGGGTAGGTAGCGAAAATGCCCGCGGTGCCGTTGGGACCCAGTACCAAAAGCTGGTTCCCAGCAAATGCCCAAATGGCATCTGGAAAATGAAACACACAAAGGTTTGATCGGAATGGAGGTGCCACCGCATGAGCGTCATTCTAATCGCCCACTAGAGAAGCTGAATCCTGCATTGGAGGGGGAAACGAAGGGCAGTTTAAATCCAGTTGTTTCTAATGGGGAGACTTAGGCGCAAACTCATAAATTTTAATATTGAATATTATTGAATTTTATTTGGCCAGGGCGGCTTATTTTATATTGTATAGTTGTATTTTATTTTAATGTATATATTTTAATTTCTACTTATGATACCTAACTTATTGTTGTAAGCCGCCCCGAGGCTTTGGCGAATGGGGTGGCATAAAAATGTTTTAATAAATAAATAAATAAAAATTCTCCCATCGAAAACAATGGCCCTCAGAGCTCCATTGCATCCATCGCTGGCCCTCTGCTGAGTTCCATGGGACTGCACGGAGACAGCTTACAAGAGAGATGCCCATTCCTCTGCCCATTGAAGTCAAGAGGGCTCCCAACAGAGCAGAAGACCGAGTATTCAACGTCTCTCTGTTCTGGAGTCTGGTAGCCCTTTCGGGATTCAGGCTCCATGCTTCCTGGGCCAGAATCCCTCCATGGATGAAGGGCCTGCACCTGCCTGCTTCAGAAATCTGGTGCTTGCTCCTCCATTCCTTGGGGAAAATGTAAAAGTCGGCCTGGTTGTGGAAAAAGGGATTCGCTTTCGCGGCCGGAGCTCAGGTGCGTTCACGGCCTGGACTGGGACAAGGGCGTCTGACATTAAGGTAAGACAAGAGAAAGACCAGACCAAAGGGCCACCGAGTCCAGCATTCTGTTACCCAGGGACCGACCCACCGCCCAGGGGTCCCTCAATCACACCCCTTGCCCAGGTCCCCGGCAGCTGCTCCACCAGACCAGATCCTGGAGCCACTGGTCCTGCACTGGCCCTTCACTGGCGCTGCCTCCGAACGGTCTCATTAGTTCCTAACAGTCAGATCGCGAATGATGATGCAGTTGCTGACTTCTTATTATGCACCGTGCATTACCTGCTGCCTTGCGTTGTCAGCACAAAAAGAAGGTGCCAAAGTTCATCTGTGCGCTAGGTAAGCACATTCCAAGGCCGTGAAAGGATCAGCCGCTGGATTGCACCCTTGTTAAGTTATATGAGCCAGGAATGGCAAGGGCCACGGGTCCCAAACTCTGTCAGCTTTTGCGATCTGAAATCTAGTTCATCGCTAGCCATAAGAGCTCTTTTTTAAAAGTGTGCATCAAGATTTTTATGTACCTTGGCGCACCTCCCTGTTGAAGGCATTTCGTCTTCCCGCTTGCAGACATTATTTATTTATTTATTTTTGCCTTCAAAGGCCGCTCCCTACTCCTAATGGAGTATCAGTACTACTATTACTACTGTTTGTATTTATATCCTGCCTTTATTACCCTTGGAAGGAACCCGAAGTGATTTAAAATGTTCTCCAAAGAGTTTCATGGTCAAGTGGAGACTAGAATCCAGAATGTTTATATTTTTGATTTATAATTACTTTAACTTATGTTGTAAGCCGCCCCGATGCTTCGGCGAATGGGGCGACATAAAAATGTTTTAATAAATAAAAAAAATAAAGTCCTGAGCCCCCGTCTAGCCCTCGCAAGCTCCTCCACACACTGGCGCTCATTGAATGTACACATTCCCACAAACAATTCTCCCAATATGATGCAGTTTAACATTATCTGACGAACACACACAAATTTGTGTTCCCCTGACTCAAATATGCACATTTTTGTAGGCATGTTGGGGCACTTGACCACAAAATCTGGAAAACTGCCAGCTTTAAAATTTTAGTTCATGTTATGTGTTGAAAGTGCGAGACTAAGTAAATTCACATTAACATGCGAGAGGAACCGATTTCTTCCCACCCCTGGTTCTGGGCACTTTTATTGTGGGACCTTTTATTGTGGGACCTTTTATTGTGCAATCACATATTATTGTGCTCACAGGAGAGTCAAGACAGAGTCATCTTCGAAGTGTGACCCTCCCGTTTCCTCATGCTGCATCTTTCGTCTCTTTCATTACCAGGAAAACTTGGCTAAGATAAAGAAGGTGGAATAGCTGCCAGGAGCTCTTCTGCCCACCAGAACCAAAACCCCCAGCCTGGAAGTACCGTCGGTTAACAGATCCGAGGCAAAGAGACAGACAAAGCCCAGCACTGGCTATGCAGCAGGGAGAATGCAGCTTCTGGCCCCGGCTCGTTGGTTGGAGCTGGGAAGGTCCTCAGCCTGAGAACTTGGAGAACCAAAAGCAGTTGATCTGGGCTGGATGGACCTCAGCACATAAAACAGCTCCGTGAGCTTTATTTCAAGGGGAGAGAGCAGTGATTTTTTTTTAAAAAAATGCAAACTGGCTCGTGCATCTTTCTGGCTTACTCTTGCTTTCTGGCAGGAATTGGGAAGTGCAGGGGCCTGACCTGGATCTCAGGACATGATAAGTCATGCGCTCTAAGCTTGAGCTCTGAGCCACTCGTTGTGACCACCAAAGGAATATACAGACGAGACGAGGCTGCTCTCTCCAGAATCACCCAAAGACCGAGTCTCCTAACACCTTTAGGGAGAAGCCATGGTGACTTCCAGATCCCCTTATCAGGCTGTGAAGGGAGGTGGCTCTTTCCTTGGGGTCATTTGGGTTCAAAGCAAGGGCGACCTATCTGGCCAAGCCCAAGTCACCATGAGCCAAAACCGCACCAGGTCCCCACACCTTCATGCGGGAGAATTTCCCACTGTCTTGGGCCACGTAGCTCAAAGCACAGTCTCGGCAGCAGACGTCTGCGAAAGGCTTTCCCAAGCTTGCTGCGAGAAACCGAGCTCCCTATGAAGACAGAAACTTAGCACTAAAAGCCACAGATCGCTCCTCGCCTGGCATTGGCCACTTACCAAAGTACAAGCCAAAGACGATGCCTGCCCCGAGGAACGCTCCCACGGTCTGCGCAATGGCGTAAACGGGCAGCTTGATCCACGGTTCCCGGGCCATGAGGCACATTGCGAAGGTGACTGCCGGGTTCAAATGGCCGCCTGTGAAATATCGGAGAGTTAGAAGCCGATCTTTTAATTGTCGGGCGCAAGTTAGAGGGAAAGGGTGCCCCTGGCCATGTTACTGGGGGGAGCTGCCAGGCCTGCACGGTCCTTCGAGGCCCCGTGGCAAAGCTCGGGGGAAACAGCTGGCATTCGCACACCACAATGGAAGTGCACAAGGTGCAGGTGGAAAGAGTGCGCCCCTGGAATGCAAAAGCTGGAGTCTGTCTGAATCACGCCTGAGACTATTTCAGGGCTGATCTGTCATGAAAGGTGGGCAGGGTGTTTCTGGTACGTCCTTCGTTCTAGTTCTGTTCTCAGGCAGAAACTTTGCACTGCCGGCTCTTTCTCTCACCCCGCCTTCCCTTGGTGGTGGAAAACCCTGCTTCAGCCTGGATTGAGTCCACGCGAAGGACAGCACAAGACAGAGCCTTGAAAACCGATGGCTGCAATACCAAAACCTGGGGAAACCTTGCACCGAGCGGCCGAGGTCGGCTGACAGGGCAGAGGGGCACTGAGCTCCATCCGCGACCTCCAGACTCCACCCACTGGCAGCACCCTTGGGATCCTCCTCTCTTTAGCCCTGTCCAGGTGCTGTCCAGCCAGGAGAGTTCCCTGGACCAGACGGTGGTGTGCACAGGAATCAACCTCATGGGCTGTGGTGACCCCACGCAGCCCAGTCTGACCCACATCCATAACAACTTCAAATAAACAGAAGGGGAATTTCTGCCAGATGGAGAATGACTGGGATTGACTGTCTAATTATTGTTTTATTGTTACTGCGATTGTCATCATCATTGTTTGCCATTTCCTTCAGTCATTGCATCTTTTCCAGTCATCCAGTTCATGCTTTCAGTCCAGTCTTTATAAAGAAAGCTACTACAGAAGGCCATGAGGGGGATCGTTCGGGAGGTTGTAAATGTGAAAACGGACGCATGTCTATTTGAAGTTCACTGGGGTTTTAGTCACAGATCAGTGAACCTTAAAGGTTTGCTCTCAGCTCCTTGAGAACATGAGAATTTTCTGCTTGTGGGCAATAACATTTCTGTGGACAGAAGTTCCACTAGGGAAGTTCCTCTTTGCTGTTGAACAAGGCCAGGTTCTTCCACGTGCATGGGAGACAATCGGACCCATAAATCTCCTGTCCATACCTGAAACCTGTCCAGCGATCAAAATCCCAAGTGTCACAGCAAAGCCAAACGCCAGGTTGACGGTCAGAAAGTGTCCGTGGCTTCCTTTGCTGAGCACAATCTGCGCCACAGAGCCACAACCGAACATCTGTAGGGAGAAAACAGGATCTCGGTCAAAGCCCATTGGGTGGGTTTCTCCTCCTTCTGCCTCGCATTGAAAGGTACAATTTTCTTTCTCAAGATGCTTCCAGGCGAGGCTGTAATGGCCCCATTGCTTTGGCTCTTCCATGGAGGGTCAACGCGCAACGCCCATGTGCAACCCCCCCACGTCCTTCTGCTGTTGCTGCTTCCCCTTTTTTCTCTTATAGTAGAAAATCCATTAAGGAAAAGAGAGAACAACTGCACAACGCCAACCACGTAATAGTCGCAGGAGCCCAGCATCTGGAGCCCCCCCCCCCCGACTTCACTCGGGGGAAACCAGCTTGGCGTGCTTATGGCAAAAGCCGCTTGTGCACAGCGCTGACGGGTCAGAAGCCAGTGGCATCACCCACCCGCCCTTTTCCATCATACGGACGGCATGTTTCAGGACTCTTGCGATTGCTCACCCATACCAGGTGCTTTACCCGTAGCATCTCCACCGCTTTTTCAGAATGGGGATAATGAGCTGTTTGGCTTTACTGCAACACTAGCTTGTGGCTAGAAACATAGAGTGGGTCAGAAGAGGTCTCCCGGGCCATCTAGTCTGACCCCCGGCTCCAGCCAGCTCCACTCATGACATCTCTGCCATGTGCATGTCCAGCCTGTCCTTGAGCACCCTCACCGTTGGGGCTTCAACCACCTCCCGTGGGAGCCCATTCCATACCCTCGGGGTCCTAACCTCAAAAATGGAGGCCGGATGACGGGAGAGTTCCCCTGCCAAGCCCTGAGTTCTCTCGGGTGTAACCCATCAGGGCCTGGCGCCTTTGTAACATCCAGAGCCCTGAGGAGCTCCTCACCTTCGGGTGGGGGGACTGTAATGGAACTCTAACGTTGTGTAATGGAATCTAATGCTGTGTAATAGAACTTATAAAAAGGCAGAGAAAGGAAACACCTGGGGGGGGGGAGGTGTGCAGGAGCCAAACCTGATCCTGCAAAGAATCCAGAAACAGAAGCCCTGAAGTAACAATTTAAATTGGGTTAATTACTTTGGATAGAGAAACCCTATCACTTAGAAAAGGGGAATATGAGTGGGGGGAGGCTGCACAAAACCCCGGAAGTCACTGGAAGTGGGGAGCGTGGCCATCTTGAGACCTCAGACTTTCTGTTTGCTGCATCATCACCTAGGAAGGTTTTTGCAAAGCTCAGCCAAACCGCCAGGCATAAAAGCAGACTAGCGATAATGTGCTTGCACAGCTCAGTGCAATCTTTGAGATCTGGATCTGGTAAATGTGCCATAGACTTTTCTGAATCATGTGGCCCAGGCATCCCAGAGAGTCCAGTGGAGCCCGACTGGTGTTGGCAGTTCGGGCAACTGGATTTCACATTCCCTGATACACCGCTGGAATTACTCTAGTGCAGGTCTTTGACTTTACGTATCTCGGAGTACGGCATCTGCACAGGCTGGATTTATCCGTAGGCTTGCAGAAAAGAGCTGCTGTTTGCCCAAGCTCAGTTTGCACTTAATGCGGCCTGGCCCTCTTTGCTTGGTGATTCATCGCCTTCCTCCTCCTCCTCCTCCCCGCACTAACTCTTGAACTGTATTTCTCCCCTTGCAGCAGAGGACAGAAACACCTGCGTGGTTCTTTGCCCTTGAACTTTAAACAAATATGATCCCTGAATCAATACACAGATGCACACAAGAGCACTTCTCAGTTTTATCTTGGACTAATTCCACAAGAATGTTATCTTTCTGAGAAACAATCTTCCTGAACGGGAAGCTGAGATGGCTGCGGCACTAAACCCAGCTTATTACCGCTGCAGGATGAGTCGAGGCTGCCAAGGAAATTGGCTCACCCGGAGCCGTTTGTCAAGTTTTAGGCTGTCGCAGGGATGGCTCCGGGGAGAAAGGCCATACGAGGAAGTGGACAAAACATGACTAAATGGAGGATGAACAGAGACCCCCAGGCAGTCTAGAAGTGAAGGCATTTCTTGCGCCCCGGCAGCTGCCCCTAAGCTCTCAGTGTGTTAAAGTGCTGCGGGTTTCGCCGGACATGATACACGCACATGAACAACAACACCCTTCCAGCTCTCGCACTCCACCAGAGCCAAGCAACGGCATCGTCTTCACTCTTCCTGCACCCCCAGCTCGGCCAGTTTCCTTTCTGGAAAATATCCCGCAAGGCCAAGCACTGCTAAGAGGGTGACTTGAGCCCTGAGGCGAGACCGATCCAGGCCTGGTGGTGCTGGAGGAGGCAAGTCCAAATGCCCCCCGGGCGCCCCAGGAGGGCATACGAGGAGTCTCTCTGCATCAGACCAGGGTCCGTCCAGTCCAGCATCCTGTCCACTGCATGCCAGCCAGCTGCCCAGGGGAGACATATGCCATGTTCCCCAGCCATCGGTGCACGAGGCCTTTTGCCTCTCCGTCGGGGCAGACCGCAATCCATCAGGAGGCACGAAATGGACAGGAGACTGGGCTGCTCCGAGCCGTACCAGTGGGGCTTGCATGCAAGCACCTCCTCGTGGGCTGGGGTCCAATGGGTCGGATCCCCCCATTGAGTCGCCCCTAAAACTCGCTGCAACCCTCCGCCTCCGACAGCCATGTCATCTTGCACGATGGCGCGGCCAGGGCAAGGGGGCGCTGTGGGTCCACGGCGTGGGACTCCATGCGGTGCACCGCTACGGGACTCCAGGAGTTTGCACATCTGTCGGCCTCCACATGGCAGCGCAAGGGGTGTCCGTGGGCCCCGGCCCACCCTCGAGCTGCCCCGAAGGAGGACGATCCTGGATGTCCTGCTCACAACTCTTCTTTGCCCTTTGTCCATTGGTCGAATACCAATTCATGCAACCTGCCAAAATCAGTCTGCCGGGCAAGTTATCACAAACAGCCCGACACAACCATAGAGGAAATACAGCAAAGGCTGACCTCGAAAGAAGCTGGGCTCCAGGCCCGTTGCCTGAAATCCCCGCGCACACACCATGAGGCCTTTCGTTTTAAGGTTTAAGCAGAGTATAAAGGAGCTCGAATCCTAGAACCAAGAGGTCTGTCATGGCCAGCGATGGGTATGGGCCAGCGGTGCAAACAGGACAGACGGAGCTGCCCAACTGAAGGCTCTTTCATAGGTGCGAAAGCAGCAGGTGAAGCTCATATTCTTAGACTGATGGCACGCTTCTGAATTTTTTGAGGAAGCATGTTTGGAAAAGGTTTTTGACTTCTCAAAATCTGGAAGAGGATTGAAGTCAAGACATTTTTTTAATTTGCTTGGTGAGCTGCAGGTGAGAAAAATGGGAGAGAGGGAAGGAAGGAAGGAAGGAAGGAAGGAAGGAAGGAAGGAAGGGGAAATGGGAAGTGGAAAAGGAAACTAAATTTTGCTCTGTGAAATACAAAAGGGAAGGTGGCAAGTTATCCTGGAAAAACATGGTGCAGATTTCATGTGTCTTCTTAGCACCTTTTTTCTGGGTGGGTTGGCGGTTTTCCTGGCCAGCAGTCCTTGGAATCTGTCCTACCTCCCTTCCGGCATACCCACAGCTGCTGTTACGTGCCAGCCACCTCCAACGTATGGCTTCCACAGAGCAATCCCGTTCTAACTGCAGCAAGAGGGTTTTGAGCACGTTCTGAACGTCCCTTGGCCGAGAATAAGAAGCATGGAAGTGGAGCTCAAAGAAACGGGCAGGTGCGAGAGTTTTCTCAGTGCAGCAGCTGCCCTCTGTCATCATCTCCCCGACTTCCTGTGGTTCCCCTGTTCCTATACATCTATTCACACACCTGCACGCACACCCCAGCATCCTTCTACCGAGGTGTGAGTTGTTCAAAATAAATTCCAAGCCGTTGGGATGCCACAAAAGGAGACCTCGTTTCAATCAACTGCAGCCGGAGCTCCCAGCCCGAGCCACGCGGCCAGCGTTGCCTCTGCTTGGGGTTTAAGAACAGCCAACCCAAACTTTTGGCCAAGTGTGCCTGATTTAGGGAGACTCTTTTCCCCCAAAAGAGCACTTGCCCTGTTCTTGGGTGTAATAGCTCGTCTCTCCATGACCAGATTAAATGGCTTAAAAGATTATCCCTGGCTGGCTTTGCCCTCAGAAAGAGTTAGAGCTCTTCTTCCGTGGAGGAGCAGACCTGGGAAGAATCGCTTCCCTCCCTCGAATTAGGAAGGCACCACCCGGCTGTCCTAATTAAGGACAGGGCAGCCCTAACGGCAAGGGAAGGGCATCATCCTGCATCCCACACGCTTGCCTTCCAGCTCTCCTTGAGGAGTTTTGGAAAATGCCCCTTCTTCCTCCTAGATGCCACTCAAAAAGGAGGTGAATGTTGCAGCAGAGAGAGAGAAGGGGATTGAGAAGGTTTCAGTGCAAGGACTGCTAGGCAGTTTGTCCCAGCTGGGAAGCAGAAAGGCTGGCCAAAGAACAAAGACATTTCCTGAAACTCGGCCAGGGTCCAGGGTCCAAAGATACACGGCCCGCTGGCCAGGGCACCAAGGGGCCCTGACCGAGCAAGCTCAGCACACCAGTTTGGCAGAACGCGTGTGAGCTGCACCAGTGCGGTGACTCGGCCCGGGACGGGCCCTGCCCTCTCTGCCTCTGCAGGGGAGCCTGCGCTTTACCCACAGCAAGGGGACAGGCGCTCACCCGCCCTACACAGGCCTTAATCCCGCAGCCACAGGTATGGGATGAGCTCCCAGTCCAGGTGCCATGTACCAGTGGCCGCAGGATCACTTTGTCCACACGGCATGGCATGTGAAGGGGGGTCGGTGATGCAGGAGCGGTTTGGGGTGTTGTGTGGCAAAGCAAGGAAGGGGGGGAATTCAGCCTCCTGCGTCCCCTGCTTAAAAAAATTCAAGTGAGCAGCGGCTGCGTTGCTTAAGTGCTTCGAGAACTGAGGGACCAGGCCCATATGAAACAAATCTGCACAGACTTTACGTATGCAAATGTTTAGCACTCGCTCTCCCTGTAATCAAGTTTAGAAATAATGACTTTAAATTTCACAGAAGGCAAAGCCAGACAATCCATTTCTCATCTAAATTGTGCCAAATAAAATAAATTATTTGTTTAATTAGCACCCCAACCTGAGATCAACCTAAATAGCCATTCCTTTTCGGTTGCCAAGAATTTGCAGTGGGCACCAGCAGGTGTGGAAAAAAATGCGCAAACCTGACAGGATGCGAAGTTTGATTGTCCTAGAGGGGAAAGCCTGCATTAGAACTCATTTTGCCATTGCTACCCCACCTCACACACACACACAGATGTACACAACTTTAAATGCCACACAGGGCATGTGTTTTGTGTATGTGTGCACGTGTGTTACAGTACATGGGGATCGGGAAGGTTAACCCTTCCCTTCCCAGGCATGATCCTCCTGGATACTTGTTTGTGCATAGAGATTAAGTGGAGGGGAGGGGATTCTGCTGGCACTCATGAATATTCAGTGTCCTGAGTGGGGATTTGGTTTGCAACACCTCTGTCAAGCAGGGGTGTCCGACCTTTTGTCTTCTCAGGCCCACATTGGAAGAATTGCCTTGGCCGCACATTAAATACACAATCAAAAACTGGTGAGCAAAAAAAAGGGTCTGTGCATGATTTTTGTGATATCCGCCAGCACAGATAAGCAAAAAACGATCATCCTAAGGGAGCCTGCCTACGCTTATTTTGCATGACATTGCAACACGACGTTGTCATCCACGAAGTTCACACTCAAGAACGACGCAATCGAGTCACCAAAAAATAGCAAAGAATCTCATAATGTTTTAAGTCAGTTTATGGTTTTGGGTTGGGCCGCATTTATAGCCATCCTGGGCCGCATGCGGCCCACGGGCCGTGGGTTGGACACCCCTGAGTGTAAAGCAGTAGGAGGAAAGTCCTGCTGTCTTTGACCTTGAATCTTTTGCTTCAGGAGAGGAGTTCCAGATCTGATGTGACCTTCTTCACGCTGCCAGCCCTTTGAAAGACGACAGCAACAGCCCGGGTGGGAGGCAGTGGTCCCAGGCTCTGCGCCTCCAGTGCTCTGGTCAAGATCCCCGCCCTCCGGAGCTGCCACATCCTGGGGAGGGGCGCACATTAAACTCCCCCTTGCTCCCTCTCCATCCCCCGCCTGGAGCACATTGCTAATACTGTGGCGTCTGGCCTCCCAGGGCAGGTCTCCTAGGAAATGGCTTTCTGCGCATCTCCTGTTTGCACAGGGTTTCAACTGGCCTCAGCGGAGCTGTGGAGCTGTGCCACGCAGCCCCACCTTGCCGAGCGGGACGGGCGCAGGAGACAGGTAGACGAGAACCCGGCAGAGAAGTCCTCCTGATGGTCACGGCCTGCCACGCGCTGCTGCACCGCACAGACACTGCTCCCCGCAACTTAGGATTCTCAGCATCTCATTCATTATTTTTAAAAGGTGTTTCAGATGGAAGGAAGCAATTTCCTAGCTGGAAATAGATCCCAGCATGTGAAGCCTCTTTAGCAAGAAGGTCCCAAGGAAAGCTCTCCACCTGGAGCATTCCAAGGTTCTTTCATTTGCCAGAGGAAGCGATACCATCTTGAGTGCATGATTGCTGGGTGTGGGTGACTTCATTAATTAAATCTGGCACCTGAGAGACCCAGCAATTGCTCAAGGCCCTCGACAAAGGGAGGGAATTCTCAACAGGGCTTAATTTTGGCTGACTAGTTGAGTTTTGCAGCACAAACCTGGGACTCGGGTGGAGTCTAGAGGCATTCTGTGCCTTTTCTGGTTTTTCCTCCTAAATTTTTTTTCCAGGTTATGAAAAAGGTTGGGAGCTGTCGTGGGGAAACATGGGCGTGTGGAGGGTTCAAGGCAAGCACTGTCCTGACTCTCTATAAAATTCTGTTGCACGAGGGAAAGGCCACCTGTGCATTCTGGATTTCCGTTAAATATTTTTAATATAAAAATACCAATCATCTGCCTGAAACTGATTAGCCAAGCACCTCCTCAATTAGAGTTGCAGCCTTAATTCATTCCCACCCAACAGATTCAATTCTGTTACCACATCTCTGGCTCAAACCAGAACCAAAACCAAAACTAGAACCGGAACAGAGGGTTCTCAGGACCCTCTGAAGCCTCATCTCCAGCTTCCCCCAGCTTGGAGGCTCCCAGGGGTGTTGGACTACAATTCCCATCATCTGCACTCAACACGTGGGCCAGCACGCCTTCAGAAATGCAAGCTGCTAGGAGGCAGGAGCCTGCCTTTTCCCTTACGTTACTCAGTAATTTGCCCCGAGCATTGCTGGGTCCGTCGGAACACGCAAACCAGTCGCTGCCCACCCAGTGCGGTTTCCCTGCGCACCAAAGCAAAACGAGAGAGCAAAGCAAAGGCGCATGCGTAAAAGAAGAGGTGTGAGAGAGGATGCAAAGGTCCCCCATGGGCCCACAGCAAATGCGTGGCGCATGCCAGATAAGGTCGCCGTCACCTATCCAGGCGACATTGCTTGCATTCTTCAATGCATCCAACCAAAGACAAGCGGCTCCCAAGGATCGCAAAGGCACCCAGGAGAATCAGGAGCATGCAGAAGGGACGAGCCAGCGGCAATGCAGAGATCGGTGAGATACCGCCAGGGAATTGCCCTTGGCAGGCTCACCTTGCCTTTTCGGAAGGGAGCGCATCGTCGATTTTATTGTTATCGCTGCGGGCCAAATATTGCTTTGTTTGATGGATTGCTGGCGCACGAGGCAAGGCCCCGCCAACGAAGTTAATCAATGGGATCAGTGTGAGCTCATCACAGGAGAATGAAAGCTAGGGATGTCTCGCCAACATTTGGAAAGCGATACCCATCACGGGCTGGAGAATACGATGCCCCTCCGGCTTATGGGAGGGTGGTGAGAGAAGGCTGGGGAAAGTGGTTTGCCATGGAAAGGGACCAACGGTGGACTGGCACTCGGGGTGGGGGCTTGGGGTGGGAGGCTATGCAAGCCCGATCGCATTTTGACTATGGGAGGGGAGGGGGCACTGTCCTGGTCTTTCCGCAAACAGCCAAACGCTGGCCGACGCCCCCTCCATCGTCTGTTCGCCTCCACTTCGGTTCCCGTTCAGATTGGCAAAGGAGGCGAGTTCCGCCGAGAGCCTGCATCTCCAGGCCTTTCCCCGTGCAGTTTCTCTCAGTGTGTGCCGAAAGCAGGCACTTAAGCAAGTGTTTACAGAAGAAAGCACTTTAAGGAGCACCCCCGTGCACATCTGCTTGGAAAGTCCTTATACAGATGGGCAAAAAACCTACACACCGTGGGCATCAGATGCCTGTATGCATAGTTTCCTAAGAAGCTGCATCTCTTGAACGCAGCAGCGGCCCATCGTCCACATCCTGGCCTGGGGAAGTCCGCACACCTGTGACTGGATGTGCTTTCTTAGCCCTTGTTGCACTGAGATTTTGCAAACTGGAGAAATGTTTGCTTCGCAGAGCTTTTTGCAGTTCTGTACAATTGAGGGGCTTCCCTCCTGTCTCCCCTCCTTACTCATATGGGGTTCTGGTGTCTTGAAAGCCGCGGGAAACCCTGCGGCTCTCCAGGCCAAGCCCGTGCGCATGCATGGGAGGGAGAGTTACCTTCTCCAGCCTCCAGAAGGCACCGAAAAGCCCTCCGTTAACCCTGCAGCTCCCCCATTAAGAGAAAAGAGCAGCACAACAGCTCCGCAGGGGCAGCCCTGTGACTCAATGCACCCGACACTTTCCTTGTTCTCCCACCACTTCTTCCAAGAAACCTGTTCATCAGGCTGAAGGAGAGAAGGCAGCAGGAAACTGAGCAAAGGCTACAAAGGAAAGAGGATGTTTGGACTCGCTGCCAAAGAAGGCAGCAGGATTGCACAAGAAATGCCTCGAAATAACTCCACGAGGTCTTTGGAGAGGCAGCGAACGGCAAAGCCACTGTGCAGGGTTAGCTCCCTGTTTCCACTCCCCCACCCCAACAATAAAAAATTCCCCCTCTTTCAGTATGGATATCTGTACTTCGACTTGACTTGGAGTAGGGACTTGACTTTTGGGGAGCAAATTTGTCTGGCGGGCAAGTGTGCAAGATTGCTAGCTACACAGAGCACTTCAGCTCCAGTCATAGAGTACATGTTTGCTTAAGTCCAAAGCTTGCCTTTTGCAGCGCATTTGATCTTCGAAAAATATTTCATTTTCAATCATCCCTTGCTTCTAAAGTCACAACCCTCACAGGCACAAACAGAGGATTTTTTCCCCTGAGCAATCCCCATTAAAATGAACGGTGTTTGCCCAAAAGCACAGCTCAGTCTTCCAATCTCCCTTTCCCTTCAATGGGGCTTTGTCCAGGGACCCTCTTCGCTCACCTGTCCCCTTGTTCCACACCTGTGAGTTGCCCCAAATCAAAAGCAGTCCTTGCAACCTTCCCCACAGGACTCTGACCTCCCCTCAGTATTTCTGCAAAGCTGCACCCACGTCCCTGGACACGGCAAGGAAACAAGCTGCTGCTTCGCCCCATCCGCACCCAAACCAGTGCTCCCAGTTCACGTACCACCAAGATCAGGGTGCCCAGGCATTCGGCCAGGGCCTGCCGGACGAGCTTGTTCCTGATCCTCAGCCTCTGCCCGACGGCTGCCAGAACGTCCTTCTGCCTGCTCATGGTGCTGGATGGTCCTGCCTAGGCTTGGGGAAAGATGAGGGAGTCTGCTCCTTGGCTCTCGGTGGCTCTGGAGAGCGTCCCACACCTGCCTGGTCTTATAAGCACGTGGAGAGCCGCTGCAGGTCCCTCCCCAAAGGAGCTCCACGCCTCCCAGCTTCTCCGCAGAGTTTCCCCCGCTTCTGACAGCAGAAGGCCAAGTGGGCGGCTCACTGGAGGTTTGTTCTGGCGCTGCCTCTTCCCCCCTTCCGATGACTCACCGGCCACACCCCAGTTCAGGATGGGTGCCTGAGTTCATGCCAAGCAGCACGGCCGGCCGCCCCGCCAGGCGTGGCTCCTTCCAGGGATGGGTCAGGCCGTGCGCTTTTCCCAGCCAGGCTCGTGGGGACGGAGCCCACTGCCTGCCTGGGCAAACAGAGCGAGCGATGCTGCAGCTCCAGGATTGCCGGGCCGGGGAAGGCGGGCCGGGCCGGGCTGGCCCAAGGGGAGGCTCGGAAGACAGCGTGGATTCAAGGAGGCCCGGAGGAGGAGACCCACCAGTCCAGCCGGATGTCGAGCAGACTGGGGTCGCAACCGGAGCCCCCCACCCCCCGGCTATGGGAACGTGGGGACGAATAGGGCACAGCTCCCTGAGCATGTGCAGAAGGCTCTTGGCACACACATTATGCGGAAGGAGTCTGCCTCTCTGGGATAAAGGGGCCAGCTTTGCATTCATTGGCCCGAGCAGCAGAACCTCGCTTATTTTCATGCGTTACACAGAAAGAGAGTGAGTCAGAAGGGGCCTCCTGGGGCATCTAGTCTGACCCCCGGCTCCAGCTGGCTCCATTCATGCCATGTGCCACGTGCATGTCTAGCCTATCCTTGAACACCCCCATGGATGGGGCCTCAACCACCCTCCGTGGAAGCCCATTCCATACCCTGGGGGTCCTAACCGTCAGGAAGTACTTCCTGGCATCCACTCTAATTCTTGGTTCCCTAAGCTTTGCTCCATTAGAACATTCCACCCTTTTTTTCCTTCCAAAGAACTCAAGGCAGCTTGCATAATTCACCTGCTCCAGTCAATCTTACCCTCGGAACAACAACCCTGTAAGGTAGGTTGGGTGGCGAGCCTGCGGCCGTTCCAGAGTTGGCCAGCGAGCAGAGCGGATCCCACGCAGAACCCCAGTGGTCTGGGCCCCAATCTGTGTTCTCAACCGCTGCAGCTCCCGGCTCTTTCCTTCTTGTTCCTGCTCACTGTCTGGAAATTTGGGGGTAAAGTGCTTCATGGCGAGCCACAAAACCTTTTGTAGGCCAAAGCTCTTTAAAACCTATTAGCAAAACTAGAATCAGACTCAAGGGAAAATGCACCTCTGGATACTCTGCACCTGTGGCTGGACAACTTGTGTCCATCCTTATGCACAGGATTGCAACTCCCATCATTCCCAACCAGTATGTTGGGGTCTGAGGCACCGGAGGGCACCAGGTTAGAGACGGAAAGGATCCTTTACCAAATTCTTCTTCTTCCTTTATTTTATTCTTGAACGAATCCATATCTTCAGATTAACATTTAAAGATCTGAGCGGGGCAGCTGACTGGCTTCCAAAATAGATACTTACATTTCCTGAACATGTGAAAAGAAACAGAACCTGGTCAGCCCTCTGAGTGGGATGGTTTGACTTGGTGTCCTGCAACAGCAGGGGGGTGGACTTGATGGCCTTCACGGCCCCTTCCAGCTCTTTTATTCTATGATTCTATGATTTATATTTTTCGTATATGAAAATGGCGTCTCCATCCATCTGTTCTGGTGAGGGCAGTTGAAAGGAAACGCCAAGTAAAGTGACAAACAGAATAAAAATTATTCTTGTCCAGAGAAACACAGCTGCTTTTTCAGCAGCAAAGTGATAGGAGTAGATTCTCACAGGTCCAAATCAACTCAAGAAAAACCAGAAGAGGGGAAACATCAGCAGTGGACAGAAACAGAGAGTGATAGAGAGAACAGCAGGCAGCAAAACATATTTTTAAAATTGTGAATACACTTACACACACACACACACACACACACACGATATTTTCCAGAATACTGAAGGTTCCTTATGTATCTTAAAATGATCAGGACAAACTCCTATACTTCCTTAGAGATTCTTCTACAGCTGGGGGAAAAACTGTTCCTTCACGAACACAAGGTTAAGAAACGAAAAGTACAAAACCAAACGGTCATTTTGAGCATAAGAAAACTTCCAAAATCTGTACTCATAGTAGTGTAATTCTTTTAATTAGCCCAACTCTAAACTTGGGGGCAGGCAGTGCAAACTTTGGGGATCCTCCAGAACTCTTCATCTGACAAGATGTCCAAAAAGCAGGCTTTTTGGGAGAGAGAGAGGTGGGAAGGGAAGGCTAACCAGACACTTGCAAGTGTAGACTCTTAAGATAATAGTGCACATGCACACGCACTCATACCACCAGCCTGCTTTTCTTAACATCTTGCCTGATGAAGAGCTCTGTAGCTGCCGAAAGCTTGCACACTTTGTGGCAGTGGCTCCAGGGTGAGTGAGGCCGTTCCTCCACCCGGAGTTCTCATCCAAACTTCGAGGGGGCTGTCCGTGGTGCTGAAAACCTGCCTCATCCTCAACGCTCGGCTCAGCACCGAGGACAGTGCCTGCGCAGCTCAGGCTGCCGCCCTGCATGGAGGCGTCTCCCCACTCCCTTTGGAGGCAGCAGCCTGTGCTGGAAGGGGCCGAGGAAACTAAAGGTGGGCCGGCGACAGAGGCATCTTTTCGGTTTGGGCTGATGCCACGAGGCCAGGAAGGAGGCCTCGGAGCGTTGCTGGTTCAAGCGGGACAGGGGAGCTTGGGTGCTGAGAGCAGCCCATCCTGACTCACCGAGGCTCTCAGGGCCACACGGCGTCAGCATGCAGGAAGCCTGGTCAGCCGGGTGCAAAGGAGCCAGTTTGGTCCTCCAAGCCGCTCGATCTGGGTGACCCCCACAACTCTGGCCCTGCGGCCAATCAGGGAATCGAACCACGTTTCTGCTGAGTGCGTCTGTGTTTCCTGTTCAGTCTTTGCTTCGTCCGTTCAGGAACCACAAAAACCTCAGGTTGATGGGTGATGGTGTGAATGAGTAATTAATTGCTCTTTACAAAATGGGGAGGTGGGGTGAGTGTTTTTATTTTTATTTATTTAATTCACCCATTAGATTTCTATCCCACCGTTTTGCTTACAATGAACGCAAAGCGGCTCACACAAGTCTCCTCCCCCCCTCAATCTCATCCCCACAACAATCCTGTGAGGTAGACTGACCGTTCCATGGCTCAGTGGGGACTAGAACTCAGATCTCCTGGGTCCCAGTCCTGCAGTCTTAACCACTGCACCGCACTGGTTTTAACAGGAAGTTTACAAAATCACATAGCAGCAGTTAAGCAAACGATATACAGAAGCAGATTTGATTAGCAGTAAGTTTTATCTTTTAATTTACACCTTCTAAGCAATCTTTGTCCATTACGTTGTAGGTAAGCTCTTTCCACTTTCCGAGGGGAATTCTCTGAGGCAGTTACTAGACATTTGAATGGGCTAGAGCTTAGGAGAGCTAAGCCTATCATGCATACCCTGAGACAGTTTGATTATTCTAGTGTTTGGCCGTGTCATACCTATCTGGAGCCTAGAGGAGTCATGCCTATCCTGAATGCCCTGAGAAAGCTGATAGATATTTATATTATGTCAGGATCCTGGGAAGTCAGGCATAACAGTTTTATATGTGCCAATATATGCATTATTACATTTATACCCTGCGTTTTTTCCTCTTGCAAGGGACCCAAGGCGGCTGGCAAGATCTTCCTCTTCTCTATTTTATCCTCACAATAAGCATGCTTAAAAGGATTGATAAATCTGGGAAAAGGCAAGCAGGGACATTCTGGCTGCATTAAAACCAGGGATGTTGTCCACCAATTTTGTGATGCTTTAACACCAGATGCCAAATTGAATGTTAGGAGATATTTGTCCCACTATGCATCACTTAACCGTTGAATTATATCGCGCTGCACTTGCTGTTTCAAAGAAAATTCCTCTGCTGTGCAGATTGTATTCTTCGCCAATCCTGTTTTGTTTTTAACCCGTCCAGTTTATCTCTGCTTCTTGTTCCATGTCTCAAGGAATCTGTGTGATTTGCTGAAGGATGGAGTCATCCAGATTTTATATTTTCAAAAATGGGGGGTCCATCATTGCTTTTCTTCTTTTAGCAGTGCTTGGGAAGGTCCAGGGCCCAGCCTGAAGCCATCTTAGGACCTGGCAGAGCCAAAACAGGATGTCTACAACCCCCTCCTGGTTTTCATCCTAAGACTGTAACCAAAGACCAACTCCACGACTTGAGCACCCCCTTTTTATATCCTTTGTGTATCATTTAGCCTGATGAAGAATCCTGAAGAACCCAAAAGCTTGCCCGGGATTTTGTGGCCTCTGACTTGGCCTTAGAAAAGCATTATGTAATATGGATCTGCACATTTTTCTTTTGAGTTGTGTCTTTTTGCCAACAGAGTGCTTCCACTTTCCGTGTGTCCCAAACAGTACAGCCTTGTTCAGCCATTCTTGCCTCTTCATGGTCCAACTAGAAATGCCCGTGGAAAAAGATCTGCCATGCTACAGTTCATCCCATCCAAAACAAAAACCCGACAGAGAGATCTTCTAGATCTAACTAGATCTTCTCGTACTGCAGAACACATCTTGCGGCTCCTTGGAGACCAACTGGTTCGTTGCGATGTCAGCTTTTGAGGACTCAGAAAGAGCCCGGCCTCTTGCCCACAGAAGTCCCACTGCAATCCGTCTGCGATTAAAACTGTCCTGCGAGACAGACCAGTCCCTCTGCAGCTGAGTCACTATGGCACAAGAGGGGGACCGTCCAGTTGCGTTCCGTTGCGGCACAGCCGAGGCCCGTCTAGCCCAGAATTTACTCTCCTGGACTTCAAGCTGACCTGCATTTCCTGACCTGCTTTCCTGCAGCTTTGGCTGGTCCACCAGCTGCGTCCTTACCTGGACAATCACTGCCTAGCGGCACTGATTCATGCTCTGGTAACCTCCCGCTTGGATT